ATGATTTAAATTTTTGTAGCACCTTTAGCTGAATTTCTTTCCTTCTTTTTGATTATTTTTTTATTACGTTTCTTGTTTGAAATTCAGTTTTTTCTTCGTCTATTCTTTCTTTTTTTTTTGAGATCGCTCAAAAATATTCAATTGTTGTTGTTTTGTTTTTTATTTAATGTTAATCTTTGGGGTAGGACAAAATATGTAATGTAAAGTGGTTGCCATGGTTCGCTGTTTTTGGGGCGTGTCCACAAGATGTTTGTCAGACAATTTCCGGTGCAAGGGGAACAACGAAAAACAAACATCGAGAAATTTTTGCTCGATGATTCAGGTTTTTTAGTTAGTAATGTCCCAACTCTTTCCAACGGATTACAGTTGTTAAATTTATAAGATCCTTGCAAAATACCTTCATTAAAAAATCCACGTCTTAGATATTTCTTGATAAATATTCTCAAAAAGATCAAGATTAAGATATCAACGATGAACAAAGTCTCTAAAAATATTCTTTAAACCAGTGATCGGAGCAGTATAGTCTGACGGGGCCGTCCATATCATACCCTACACAAACACCACCGAACTATAATTCGAGATATTTGCATCATCTTAATTGATTTGAGGTCAATAGCTACTCTTTGTTACCCTGGCATATTTTCCAAATCCTTTTTTTGGAGTAAATATTTACACCACACGATTAATATTAGGTTATTTTACACACAAAAGACTTGGTTTCGCTATAAATATTGACCGACTATTTTTAAAACAGCAATTCTAAATAGTTGGCTAGATTCCTTAAAATTTTTGATGTTCGGCTTACAATAGAGGCCTCTAGAGCGACTGGGAAACCCTACATAATACGGCTTTAGGTCAATTCCATAAAAATCTTCTGATCATCAACGAAATTTGTAGATGCTGTCCTTGACCAACTCGTAATATTCCTTTAAAATTTCATAGCGATCCGCGCGACATGTTCACCATCTAAGTTTGATATTTGATATGATTAATATTATCATTACCGATAATATTAATCATATCAAAATACGTAGACACCTGCGTTTATCTTAATATAACTCCCACACCCGAATACACACAATAATATACTTAGTATATTATCAACTTATCGTGTCTATGTCTCTATGAAGTAAATAATTACGCCATAGAATACAAATTTTGTAATTTTTCGCAAAAAAGTCTGCGTCCATTTGACCCGCTAAAACTTGACCTATCTTTATTAAAAGAGGCATGCTTATTCTTTGACCCGATCCCGATTAAGTATTTGGTGCATTTCATCCCCTAAACATTACGGCTCATTACCAAAAACAATAGGGGTCTTCATTGACAGAACCTGTCCTACATGCAAAATTTCGTGAAGATTGGTCCATAACTGTGGCCTGTATTGTGTTTACAAATTGTAATGGACAGACGGATGGACACACATGTTTAGATCGACTTAGCTAGTCGAGATATGACGATCTGTATACTTAAAGGTGGGTATAGGACCAATATTTCGCGGCGTTACAAGCTTTTGGGGGGTGCACAAAGCTATAATACCCTGACAACATAGTTGTTTAGTGTATAAAAACCAAAGCCTTTTGAAAGTCTACAAAAATATTCTTTCAAAAATCAACGTCTTTTGGAAGGTCCTTAAAAATATTTTTTCAAAAATCAACGTCTTTTGGAAGGGCTTTAAAAATATTTTTTAAAAAATGAGGTCCTTAAAAATGCACGCCTTGAGAAATCCTTAAAAAATCCACCTTAGAGAAATCCTTAAAAATCCACGCCTTAGAGAAATCCTTAAAAAATCCACGCCTTAGAGAAGTCTATTAAAAATCCACGCCTTATGGATATACTTAAAAAATCCACGGCTTATGGAAGTCCTTAAAAAATCCACGGCTTATGGAAGTCCTTAAAACATCCAAGTATTATGGAAGTCATTAAAAATCCAAACCTTATGGAAGTCCTTAATAAGTCCACACCTTATAGAAATCTTTAAAAAACCAAGTCTTGTGGAAGTCCTAAAAAACATTCACGCCTCATGGAAGACCATAAAAAATCCATGTCTTATTGAAGTCCTTAAAAATCCAAGCCTTATGAAAGTTCTTAAAAATCCAGCTCTTATGGAAGCCCTAAAAAATCCACTCATTAGATAATCGTTGAAAAAAAGTGCTTTAAAAAATCCACGCATTAGATTGTCGTTGACAGAATTTTCTTTAAAAAATCCACGCCTTTGAATCCAAGCTTTAATTAGTGCTTAAAAATGTCCTTTAAAAAGCCATTAAAAATCCAAGCCTTATAAAAGTCCTTAAAAAAATCCAAGCCTTATCGAAATCCTTTAAAAAGCCATTAAAAATCCAAGCCTTATAGAAGTCCTTAAAAATCCAAGCCTTATAGAAGTCCTTAAAAAATCCAAGTATTATGGAAGTCATTAAAAATCCAAACTTTATGGAAGTCCTTAAAAAGTCCACGCCTCTTGGAAGTCCTTAAAAAATCCACGCGATATGGAACTCCTTAAAAAATCCAAGTCTTATGGAAGTCCTTAAAAATCCAAGCCTTATAGAAGTATGTGGAAGTCCTTAAAAATCCAAGTATTATGGAAGTCATTAAAAATCCAAACCTTATGGAAGTCCTTAAAAAGTCCTCGCCTCATGGAAATCCCTAAAAAACATTCACGTCTCATGGAAGTCCTTAAAAAATCCAAGTCTTATTGAAGTCCTTAAAAATCCAAGCCTTATGAAAGTCCTTAAAAATCCACCTCTTATTGAAGCCCTAAAAAATCCACGCATTGGATAATCGTTGAAAAAAAAAATTTTAATATCCACGCATTAGATAGTCATTGACAGAATTTTCATAAAAAATCCACGCATTAGATAGTCGTTGACAGAATTTTCTTTAAAAAATCCACGCCTTTGAATCCAAGCTTTAATTAGTGCTTAAAAATATCCTTTAAGAAATCCACGCCTTAACCAGTGAGCAGAGCAGTATAGTCGGACGGGGCCGACCATACGATACCCTACACAACTACCACGGAACTCTAACTTTCAGCTTATGTTTATTCCGAGCCTGGGCAATATTTCGTTATAGTTGCTCAATCTAGCCCAATTAGAGATCAACAGCACCTCTTCATTACATTCACATATTTTCCGAATATTAATATTCATATTCAGATTCCATTCGGCCTATTATTGACATCAAATCGAAAAAACACAAAAAATTAAGTATTCGGTCCACTTCATCCCAAAATTATTATCTGATCACCACCGAAAATTATAGGCGTTGTTCTTGACCATAACTGGAACCTCATGCAACATTTAAAAGCGGTCAGTGTTATATTTCCGCCATCTATTGTGGTAATGGGTTACTCGGAATCTACGTATTCTGAATATTTAATCGCAACTCCCACAAGTACACACGAACGACAGTATAATTGGTATCAATTTAAAGGTCAACCACTCCTATTGGATTTACTATCAACTTCTCGGGTTTATGTCCTTCGGGAGTTAACATATTCGCTATAGAATACAAATTTTGTCATTTTTCACACAAAAGTTAGGGTCCATTTGACGCGCTAAATATTGATCGATCTTTATCAAAACAGGCATGCTTATTCTTTGGCCCGATCCCCTTCTCCATGTAAAAATTTGCGATGTTTGGACCATAATTGCGGCCTATGGAGCGAAAAGAAAAACCTACAAAAATTTAGTATTTGGTCCATTTCATCCCCTAAATATTAACCAAAAACAATAGGGTTCTTCATTGGCCAGAACCCATCCTACATGCAAAATTTCGTGAAGATTGCTCCATAACTGTGGCCTGTATCGTGTTTACAAATTATAATGGACAGACGGACGGACGGACACACATGTCTAGATCGACTCAGCTAGTCGAGATATGACGATCGGTATACTTAAAGGTGGGTCTAGGACCAATATTTAGCGGCGTTACAAAATTGTGGGGCTGCACAAAGCTATAATACCCGGACAACATAGTTGTGTAGAGTATAAAAATACACCCCTTCAGGGACGTACGCAGGGGGGTAGCCCTGGGGACCGTGCCCCCCCGAAATGAATTTTTTTCACAGTAAATTTATGTTTGCAACAGCGAATTTTTTCCTTTTGTACTACCGGGAACCCCCCAAATGAAATCCTGTGTACGTTGCTGCACCCCTTATATAGTCCATTAAAAAATCTTTAAAAAAAATCCGCGTGTTTTTAAGTCATACAATTTTATTCTACATAAAATATGTATTTATAAGAGCTACATGTGACAGAATAGATAATAATTGAGTTTAAAATATATATTTAAAGGACAGTACTTCTAGAGACAATCATTTAGTTTTCGATCCACGAGCCTGTAAAAATGTAAACATCCGATAGGCAATCATCATTGTCTGAAAAAAATAGTAATAAATGAATGGAATCCTCTGAAAAAAAACTCCCAATTACTTACCGCTCGAAAATGCACCATATCAATGCTAAACAAATTATACCCACTCAGGGTAAATGGTCGACTGGCAAATAGCAAGAAATGTATTAAAAATTTCCGATACTCTATGGTGGCATCATACCAATTCTGCTCAAATAACACTTGACTCATATTAGTAGTCTAAAATATATGAATATATGAACAGAAGAACACATATGTACACCTATTCTGTATTAATTTATTTGAGGGTTTTCTTACCACACTTTCAATCCTTGATCCCTGATAACAATTATCGAATGCAAATGCCACCTGCACAAAGCAAGGAAATATAAACAAAGTTATGGCAATAATGTCATCCGTATTCGCTATCAAATAGATGTGAAAACATATTGAGGCACCACTTATAAGATCGGTGAGAAATAATGGTAAATTAAAAGTGCTCCGCAATTTGTCACCCAATCTGAAATTTAAAAAAAAATATATATTCTTATAATATTGATGTCCTCAGAAAGTCAATTGTAATGTATCTAGCCCTAATAAGATTATATATTTCTGAGATTTTTGTTTAAAATCATTTATGTAAGAAGCCAGTAATACAAGTCCATGTTTCGATATAGCTCACCTCAATATATGCTGATGATATTTGATTATCTCCACCAGATCCTTATAAAAATCCTTACTCTTTCTCCATCCCTCCATGGTATCCTTAGCATTTAATCGCGCCAATTCCGTATTGACATATTCGAAATGCATAATAAATTGAGCCACAGTGACAGTGTAAATATGATCCCATGTAAATAGGCAATTAATACCGAACAACGTTACCAGAGTCTCCGAAACATACATATACGGATAAGTGTAGGGATTCTCTTTCAAATGAAATGGAAACCATGAGGCATGTTGATGATATTCATCCAAGAGGGGAGCACCACTTGCCGGGTCATAAAAGAGAATATATTTCAACAAAGGTATTCCGATAAAAGCCGATAAGCCCACCACAGCATAGGTGAAGAGGAACCGGTGTCGAATCAACAAATACCTTGCCAATTTATTGCAGTTCATACGTTTCTGGAGCAAACGAGTGCGAGGAAATATTTTATCCAAATCATTCGTTAAATCCAACATGCTGTTGTATTTGAACATTAGGAATATGCCACGTATCAAACACAAAAATTCAATACTCCACACGGCACCGATTTGTTTGGCTTCACTTAAACGATGAGCTCGTATCTCGAATATAATTTTCAAAACATTACACGCACAATCGGTAATCAGCAGCGCCAAGGCGGCATATAAAAGTTTCAGAGACTTGAAACGAAAGGGTTGTCTATGATCCGACCGACGAAAATCTAAATAAATAATTTTCGTATAACGTTGTGATGGTTGTAGTTTCAAGAGAAATTCATCCAGCGTATAGAGGCGTTCGTTTTCCATAACTGCTGTTGCTTATACCTGAAAGGGACTTGTTGAGTTATTTCAAGAATATTTTCATTTTCACATAAATATATAACAAAATCAGTTACTTTAACGACGTCATATTTTACACGCCCTTTGATGTCAATGTTCGCCTAATAACTGAAAATTGTCTAATGTCTGGTAAAAAATTGGTAATTTTTTATTTCTTAATGGAGACATTATTGAAACGAAATATTAAAAATACAGTCAATTAAGGGTAATACAAAATTTATATAAATTGTTATAGCTAGACATACACACATTTACATATGAGAAATATTTATCCAATTAGGGTAAGGACTTAAGTGGAAAACAAACTGTGTCACTGGGACGGCTGATATAAAAATCTCAATTATTCAATTTAGATCAAATTCAAAATTACAAATATTTGATGGACATTAATATGAAAACATTTTGAATGCAGATAATTGTCCAAATCAGGTGTTTCAATTAACACCAATGTAAAAGGCAATTAACAGAATGTTAGACTTAATATTGTAACATCCACTTACAAAAGTAGTACGACATTTGTATACCCTCCACTTTCATTCAAAATGTATTCAACCAGTAGGCTGTTTATGCTGTGGGCAAATGGATATCACAGACACTAAAGATAACCAGTGAGCGGAGCAGTATAGTCGGACGGGGCCGACCATACGATACCCTACACAACTACCACGGAACTCAAATTTTCTGCGGATGTTTATTCCGAGACTGGGCAATATTTCGTGATATTTGCACCCTCTTGTCCGATTAGAGGCACCTCTTCCTCACACTGACATATTTTCCGAATATTACGAGTATTCAGTACAGCTATTGTCCAGATTCCCTTCACCGTGGGTTGTGTTGTGATGTTCAGCTTTCATTTGAGGTCTATAGATCGACTCGAAAATAACACAAAAAATTAAGTTTTCGGTCCACTTCATTCCAAAATTATTATCTGATCATCACCGAAAATTATAGGCGTTGTCCTTGACCATAACTGGAACCTCATGGAACATTTCAAAGCGATCAGCGCTATAGTTCCGCTCTCCAGAGTGATAATGGGTTACTAAATAATATATGAATACGGAGATACCTGTAAATATTTAGGTGTAACTCCCACATCCGAGCAAATACAACAATATAATTGGTCTTAATTTAAAGGTCAACCACTCCTCTTGGATATAATATCAACTTCTCGGGTATATGTCCTTCAGGGGTAAATATATACGCCATAGAATACAAATTTTGTAATTTTTCACACATAAGTCAGGGTGCATTTGACCCGCTAAATATTGACCGATCTTTCTCCAAACAGGCATGCTTATTCTTTGGCCCGATGCGCTTCTCCATGACAAATTTCACAATGTTCGGGCCATTATTGGAGCGACCAGAAAAACCGACAAAAATTTAGTATTTGGTCCATTTCATCCCCTAAATATTAACCGATTTTTCCCAAAAACATAGAATCATTTTCTCAGTCGATTTATGCATGTCCATCTGTACGTCCATGCATTTTTGTGAATCAGATTTTGATGAAATTTAGCACATGTAAATTATTTTGCCCAAGGACGAACCCTATTGAAATTGGAGAATATCGGTTCAAAATTAGATATAACTCCCACATATATATTTTCGTCCGATTTTTTGTAAATGGTGCACCAAACTCCCAATATTGGTCCGATTGGCACAAAATTTTGCACAGAGTACTGAATTTGGACTAGATTTGTCAAGTTTTGTTGAAATCGGTTCAGATTTAGATATAGTTTCGTCAGATTTTACGTAAATGGAGAACAATGTAGTCAATATTGGTCCGATTGAGACAAAATTTTGCACAAAGTACTGAGATAGGTCCAGATTGATATATGTCAAGTTTTGTGGAAATCGGTTCAAATATAGATATAGCTCCCATATATAGTTTCGTCCGATTTTATTTAAATGGAGCACCATACTGCGAATATTGGTCCGATTAGGACAAAACTTTACATGGAGTACTGAATTAGGTCCAGATTGATGTATGCAAAGTTGTTTTTTGGAATCGGTTCAGATGGAGCACTATACAGTCGATTGAGACAATATTTCACATATCGTATTGAAGTTACTACAGGTTAGTATGTGTATGGGTTGTTTTAATTTACTTCAAATATCTTTACGTAGTTAATTTCGTCCCATTCCATATCAATGGTCCTCCAAAGATGCTATGTCTATTCTAACGAAAGGATATTGTACATATGAGCGTCTCTTGTATGCACCCAATGTGGTGAAGGGTATCATATAGTCGGCCCCGACCGACTTTTGAACTTTCCTTACTGGATTTTTATATATAAATTCAACTTGATATACCACTCAATATTCTAGGGTGGTTTGTATATCATTTACGGGAAATCTGACGTAATAGTATATGGGATCTACACAGAAAAAATAATTTGTAAATTATATGAAGTGAGAATGAAAAAAAAACGTCGTTTCTTCTTATTTACATACATATTCATGTTATTCTTCATTATAAGCATATACAACGTTAACCATTCGGTTCGTATTAACACTTGTTTGAAATATTGTATTTAGCTTTTACATCGAAATAATTTGGTAAATACATATGCGAATTTTGTAATGCAGAGGTCGGTACAGCCCTTCGAATTACTCGACTCTAAAAAAAACACAACAAGTTAAGTTTTGGATGCACTTCATCTCAATATTATTATCTGATCATCACTGAAAATTATAGGCGTTGTCCTTGACTATACCTGGATCCTCATGGAAAATTTCAAGCGATTAGCGCTACATTTCCGCACTCTAGTGTGGAAGTGGGTTACTAAATAATATATAAATACGTAAGCACCTGTAAATATTTAAATGTATCTTCCACATCCGACAGTATAATTGGTATCAATTTAAAGGTCTCCTCTACTCCTCTTGGATATGCTATCAACTTCTCGGGTCTGGTCTTTGTCCTTCAGGGGTAAATATATACGCTACGAATCAAACACTAGAATACACATTTTGTCATTTTTCACACAAAAGTCAGGGTCCATTTGACCCGCTAAATATTAACCGATCTTTATCAAATCAAAGAACATGCATGTTCTTTGGCCCGATCTCCCTTTTCATGTAAAAATTTGCGATGTTTGGGCCATAATTGCGGCCTCTGGTGCGACCATAAAATATTAACTGCTCTTTACCAAAACCAATAAAGGTCTTCATTGGCCAGAGCCCACCCAATATGCAAAATTTCGTGAGGATTGGTCCATAACTGTGGCGTGTATCGTGTTTACAAATTATAATGGACAGACGGACAGACACACATGTCTAGATCGACTAAGCTAGTCGAGATATGATATATAGTTTCTTCCAATATAACGTAAGTGAATCTCACAACAACTAGAGGACATAGAAGATCTATGTTACACCTTTTTTATTCTCCAAACACACAAATGAATGTTAAACCTACTATATCATAGTCCCCGATATTTTGAATATTGTTGATTTCCGAAGATGTCTCTATTCATACGTACCCTTAGACTCTATTCTGCAAACTGATGAAATTTTATTTTATCCTTAGTTTAGTGTATATACTATGACGACAATACCTTCGATAAAGAAGAAGGACACTTTTTATAAATTTCAATATTAATAATTTTTTTATTACAATTATTTGCAATGAATCTGCAGTTTTAAGGTGTTAAGAATTGACACGTTTTTATTTTTGAAATGATGTCAACAAAATGCAATGTCTATTGGGGAAACAGGATGACAAAGTGTTTTTTGTTTTATTGATGCCATCTGTCGGGTAGACAAGTTGTACCCACAGCACATATAAACACTCAACTAATGAATTACAACTTAAATATTTCATAATTATATACCTAAAGCCTAATGAGGGTACACGTCAATACAATCAGGAATGCGCCCCATCGAAATAAATCTTTTTGACCAAACACATTTTGTACCATTGGGTGACAATAATTCCTATTGAGTTTGAAACTCCTTGGTGAGTATATGAAAACTCCATAAGGAAAAAAGTCCTCAAATGTCAAAGTTCGGAGATATGACGCTATAATTTTTTTTGCTGGCGACCCTATTATACTGCAAGAGATGTTGTATTTTTATACCCTCCACCATAGTATTAATTTTGTCATTCCGTTTGTAACACATAGAAATATAAATTTCCGACCCTATAAAGCATATATATTCTTGATCAGGGTAAAATTCTAAGACGATCTAGCCATTTCCGTCCGTTCTCCCTCTGTCTGTCCGTCCGTCTGTTGTAATCACGTTATTTTCTGAAGGAATTGAGATAGGGTGCTGAAATTTTCCATAAAGTTGTCTTTTGTCTGCAGGCAGTTCATGTTCGAAGATGGGATATATCGGTCCACGTTTAGGCATAGCTCCCATATAACAGAACCTCCCAATTTTTGGTATTTTGGGGTTCTTGAGCGCGTTTTTCAACCGAATACCCTGAAAATTGGTACATTGAGTTATTATTGGGCACTACATGTCTCCACAAAAAATCATAAATATAGGTCCACTTTTTCTGGTAGCCCTCATATAACGGTACCCTCTAATTTGCAGTATTTTAGGGGTTTTGATCATATTTTTCCACACAATTGGCTAAAATTTAGTATTTTGAGTTCTTAACAGGTACCAAAACTCTCCACCAAAAATTATGAATATAGGTCTATTTTTCCGGGTAGCCCCCATATAAGGGTACCCCCAATTTGCGGTATTTTGGGGTTCTTGAGCGCGTTTTTCAGCCCAATTCTCTGACATTTGGTACATTGAGTTCTTATTTGGTCGCAAATATCTAAACTAAAGGTTATAAATATCGGTTCACTTTTTCTGGGATTTTATCGCATTTTTGGCTGTAATTTAGTACTTTGAGTTCTTATTGGGTAGCAAATCTCTCCACTAAAAATAATAAATTTATGTTCTAGAGCGTGTTTTTCTACCAAATTTTTAAGTATTTCGTCAGATCCCCTTCACCGTATAAAATATGTGATGTTCTGCATGTAATAATGACCTCTAAAGCGACTAAAAAATCTGAAAAAATAAAAATTTCTGTTCTTTTCACATCCTAAATATCATCTCAATATCACCGTCGTCCTTGATCTTAACCGAAACTTCACTTCAAATGTCAAGGCTATGTGATCGACATTTCCGCCCTCTATTGGGGCAATAATAATTAAAGTATAACCCCCACGTGTGCGCCAGAGTTGGGCAATCTAGTTCACCTAGCGGATCGATCTTTCTCGTTCCTTTTTTAAAGGAACTTGTTCCTTAATGTAGTTCCTTTGCTCCATATAGTTCCTTTACTCCATACAGTTATTTTGCTGCTAATAGTTCCTTTGCTCCATAATGTTCCGACTCCTACATAGTTCCTTTGCATCTCTCTCTTTCATCGTTCTTTTTTCCATATATAGTTCCTTTGCTCCATATAGTTCCTTTGTTCCATGTAGTTCCATTGCTCCATATAGTTCCTTTGCTCTTTATAGTTTCTTTGCTCTAAATATTTCGTTTACTCCATAATATAGTTCGACTCCTACATAGTTGCTTTGAATCTCTCTTTCATCGTTCTTATTGTTTATTTTTCGCTCACATAGTTCCGTGCTGATTTACTAATAAATGCAAAAATTTGAAAATTGTGCAAAAATGAAAAAAAATGAATCTACAGAATTTCGAGAACGAATGAAGAATATGGGAATAAAGGAACGAGATCAGTAAAAAGAACGAGAAAAAAAGGAAAAGAAACAAACGAGATCAGAAAAAGGAACTATATTAATTAAAGAGCTGGAACTAGTTCCGATCGTTCCTTTCTCGGAATAGTTCCAATGAACTAGTTCGTTCAGGATCTACCTTACTCTACCGTGTACATACAAGAATATAATCGGCATCAATTTAAAGGCCAACCACTCCTCTTGAATATACAGTCAAATTCTCGGGTCTATGTCCTTCAGGAGTAAATATATACGCATCAGAATATAAATTTTGTAAATTTTTACACAAACGCTGCGCCCATTTGACCTGCTAAATATTGACCGATCCTTATCAAAACAGTCATGCTTTTTCTTTGGCCAGATTCCATTCCTGGGCCAGATTCCCTTCCCTTCATAATTGTGGCCTCTAGAGCGATCAGAAAAACAGACAAATATAAAGTTTTTAGTCCATTTCATCAAACAATACCAAAACAATAGGGGTATTGCTGTCAGAACCATCCTACATGCAAAATTTCGTGATTGGTCCATAACTGTAGCCTGTATCCATTATTGGACATACAGACGGACTCGACTCAACTAGTCGAGATATGCGGTATACTTAATGTGGGTCTAGGACCAATATTTAGCCGCAATACTAACTCTTGAGGCTGCACAAATATTTTACCCTGACAACGTAGCTGTGTAGGGTATAAAAATATAAAAAATGGGAAAGAAATTTATAAAGACCACTTTATCATCAAATTACCCGAAATTCCAAATGACAGCCCCTTTGGTTAAAAAAAAAAAAACTGGCAAAACTTTTAAGATTTCGGATATTGGTCCATTATATGATGGCGTGGACCGATATGTCCCATTTTCGAACCATTGTAGCAGTACTATACGTAATATTGGTGATGAAAACGTAATGACAAATTTAAAATCCAACATTATCCCCAACACACAGTGGGCGATTGGGCCTCTTTAGCGGCATTTAATTAATAACTTCTAAACGAAAAACGATATCGTCAGCCGCTTTTTTTCACAGCTCAGAAAAAAGTCATAGAATTTTTTATGAAAAAAAAATTGCTTAATTTTTTTATTTTTAAAATCATTTTAATTCTTTTTATTTTTAAAATTTTTTAATATTATTTTTTAACATTTTATAAATCAAAATTATTTTCGGAATCAGAATCAGGCATATCTAGATGCTCCTTAAAAGCAAGCTCTTAACATAATCGTCCATAATAATATATTTGCAGACGAAATTGAAGACCCATTTGACAATGAAGATATCAAAGAGTCTGACGAAACTAATAAAGCATTTATGATATCTTTGATTGTTTTTTTCCTGGAATTTTTTCTTGTATTGCTCTCGCGTATGATTCCATAGTCCTTGTTCCTGGCTTCAAGAGCTTCTTCGGACATCATACCAATCGGAAGGGAAAAATTGTTTATTATATCTGCTCAATGAATTAAAATTCTGTGAACAGACGATGGCATGTAAAAGCAGGAGTATGCTTTAACAGTTTCCAATGCGTAAAATCCGAGTGCGACCAAATTTATGTCGTATCCACAAGCCAATCCACGTAATACTACGCTAAATCGATATATTAAATCATACCTTACTACTGTTATACGAGCAGCCAAATTTGGTTGTTGGAAAAACCTCCTTGTAGTGTTTCCGTTGTTTTTGCTGCCAGTACCATCCATTGGTATATCCACCAACAAATGCATTTCTTCCCTTAGTTTCTGCTGAATACGTCTTTTATTTTGTTCGACGACATCCTTGTGGAGACTTGATAAGCCATATTCAAATAGGTTTCCCTTAATAGGAAAGCTTTTCACCAAATTTAGATCGTTCATATTCGCTACAGATTCCACATGTTTGCGAAGCCGATTCCGATATGGCACTGAAATTGGTGATTAATTCTTAAGGTACTCACAAATGTTTGAAAAATATTTAAAATTTTGCTTTTATTGTTTTCAATTTCTCCATATAGTTCTTTTGCTCCATAATGTTTCGACTCCTACATCCTACATCCTTGCGGAGACTTGATAAGCCATATTCAAATAGGTTTCCCTTAATAGGAAAGCTTTTCACCAAATTTAGATCGTTCATATTCGCTACAGATTCAAATGTTTGCGAAGCCGATTCCGATATGGCACTGAAATTGGTGATCAATCCTTAAGGTACTCACAAATGTTGGAAAAATATTTCATATTTAGCTGTTAATGTTTTCAATTCTCTGCAAGACAAGTCTGCCGATTCTTTCTCGCAAAGTAATTTAATGGGTCGATAATATCGGGTAGAAGAAGGCCGATTTTTTTTCCATAAAACGGTCGGTCCTATCTGCACTATCAATGGTACCGCACAATTTTTTTTTCGCACAACGCAGTTTATCTTAGCATGGATATATATCTGCGTTTTGCTCTTTAGCGGCTCTCTTTGACAAATTCCATGTGTACTTGATATGTCCAACATCTACAAATATGCCATACTAAAAAAATTACCCGTTTTGCTACCGACATTGTCTCAAAAAATTGCCATGATTTAAAGGTTAGCAGGTAATAGCAGTTCATATTACACATTTTGGACGCACAATGACTCATACTTCCTGCTAAAAAAAGAGTTAGATCGAATCCGTGCGAATCTTGTAAGTTCTACTCCACGAACGATAGCTGCGTGCTATAGCGGGCTAGTTGTTAATACACTTAATTACTACTACGTCTTATGAACAGCACATTTATAGACCGGTCACAAACACAGATTTTTTATGTAATACATACCTTGAAGTTAATAAAAAGCCACACTTTTAATAAAACAAGTAAAAATTTTAAATTTCCAAGGAGCTCGAAATCAATGGGCACAACAAAGAAAAAATATTGTAAAGCACGTGTGTTTGACAGCTCACAGCTAATGATCAGCTGATCGAAGAGTTTATAAAAAACGCCAAAAATCTAATCAAAGTATCCGTTATCGATTTGTGAAAAGAATTAACGCTTTTTCAAATTTGAAAATTTGAATTAAATGCCGCTAGCGAGGCCCAATCGCCCACTGTGCAACATGGTCTACACTCAGCATTTTATCTTCGTCCTGTGTACTGATTACCAATAAGTCAGTTATTGTCCCATACAAAAAGTTTACAGTCATGATAAATTTATTTACATACATACTACACAAAAAAATTACAACAAAAAAATATATAAATTATCTAAGATTTTGTATTATTATTTACATCACATTTGATGGTACCTTCCTGCAGTAGTTCTTTGACTTTACTCGATTTTATATATCTTTTGTAATTGCTACCAACAATCAGTGTCAAAAAGCGTTCCTTTATATAGGTTGGCAGTAATCTAAAAAATAATTAAAAAAATAACAACAATTTCAGTCGATCTTATTATCATAGCCATCTTCTTACTACTTACTCAAATAATTTATACATATACTTAATGGAACCGGGTATGACCAGTTCATCTTCCCCGGCCAACATGCCCTCAACAATGCGTCGGGCAACACTACCACCCGAAGCTCCTCGTATACCATTCATATCGACTAATTTCTTAACATATTTATTTGTATTTAAAAATGTTGGCATTACAGTGGTCGCCGTGATGTTATGACCAAGTAGCATTAATTCCGATCGCAGCATCCATGTGAGGTGGCGCACTGCAGCTTTGGTGGCAGCATAAACACTCATTGTGGGAAAAGCCAAGAGGGCCGAAGCAGATGAAATGTTGACAATATGGCCACGATTCAGTTCTTTCATTTTGGGTAGAAATATTTCAGTCGTCTAAAACAGAAGTAAAATATAATAAAACAGATATAAATAAAATATCATATTATTTAATTTTGAATTTACTTACATAACATACGGCACTGACGTTAACATTAATCATACGTTGGACTTCTTCTAGTGGTGGATTTTGTGCTGTTGAAAAGAATAACACTGCAGCATTGTTAACTAAAATTGTTGTATCTCCCAAATCTCTGGTGACGTTGTCTCGTAATTCGGAAATTTGTTTGTGATCCGATACATCAACCTTGAAATAACAAAATGAGGAAATATTCGTATTATATTTTCTGTCGTATGGCATATTTGGTTCCCACTTCATATAAATGGTACACCTCTGTTGCTACATTTTATAATAGACACGTAATTTTTTGGAAATATATCCAAATTCAGATAGAAAACCATATGAGGTTAGATAAAATTATATTCAAATAAAGGATCCCAAACGCTGAACATTTTGAAATTTATGGCATAGAAAAATTTTTAGGATTTCTATACGGTGAATGAATATGCCTGGAACTCTGAAATATAGTAGGTGTCTCTATTAATTTATGTTTAATACAAATATTCAGCTGAACAACAATTGGATAAAATCTGTATTCGCTATACATGATATGTATGATTTTATGACGATTTTTCAATTTAGTAGGCAAGGTGCCAAGAAGAAGTAGTCAAATAGACACAATCTTAGGATTTATTTTAGGTTCAATGAAAATGCGTCTAAGACCATGAAAGTGCGTAGTGCACTACAATAAAAAAAATCGGTCCAGAGTTAAATATAGCTTCCATAATTTTTTTAAATATAGTTCACTAAAGGCCCCACGTCTGGCCGATTCAAATGATTATACCCTTCGCCACACTGTGGTACAGGTTATTATATCTTTGTGCATATGTTTGTAACAGGCAAAAGAAAACGAGATAGACACATAGTTCCTTTTGAGAATATGCATAGAATTACTTTCTGAGTCGATTTACGCATGTCCGTCTTTCCGTCCATGTATTTTTGTGAAAATAGTACAGTTCGCATTTATGATCCGATTTGGAAAATGAAATTCGGCATAGGTCACTTATTTGGCCCACGGACGACGTGGGAAAAATCGGTTCAGAATTAGATATAGCGCTCATATATATTTTCGTCCGATTTAATGTAAATGGTGCACCAAAGTCCCCAGATATCACTCGATTTGCACGAAATTTGGCTCAGCGTAATAAATTAGGTCTAGAATGATGTAAGTTAAATTTCCTGAAAATCGGTTTAGATTTAGATATAGTTCCCATATATATTTTCATCCGATTTAATGTAAATGGTCCCCCAAAGTCCCTATATATCTTTCGATAAATTGGGTCAAGAATGATGTGTGTTAAGTTTCCTGAAAATCGGTTCAGATTTAGATATAGCTTCCATATATATTTTCGTCCGATTTAATGTAAATGGTGCACCAAAGTCCCTATATATCTTTCGATTTGCACGAAATTTGGCACAGCGTAATGAACTAGGTCTAGAATGATGTGTGTTAAGTTTCCTGAAAATCTGTTCAGATTTAGATATAGCTCCCATATATATTTTCTTCCAATTTAATGTAAATGGTCCCCCAAATCCCCATATATCTTTCGATTTGCACGAAATTTTGCACAGCATAATGAATTAGGCCTAGAATGATGTGTGTTAAGTTTCCTGAAAATCTGTTTAGATTTAGATATAGCTCCCATATATATTTTCGTCCGATTTAATGTAAATGGTCCACCAAAGTCCCTATATATCTTTCGATTTGCACGAAATTTGGCACAGCGTAATGAATTAGGTATAGAATAATGTGTGTTAAGTTTCCTGAAAATCGGTTCAGATTTAGACATAGCTCCCATATATATTTTCGTCCGATTTATGAAATGAAAATTTTAATAATTCAGTTGCGAAAAGACATGTTTATGGATCCAATTTCATTTTACTGGTCCTTTAAAAATGCGACGTCTGTTTGGATTCATCTGTTAAATATACACAAAGTGGTGAAAGGTATCATATAGTCGGCCCCGTCCGACTTGACTACTTTCCTTACTGGTTTTTTGTATAGATTTCTGAATGACATGTTTGTGTGTCGACTTAAATTGGTTAATATATTTATGTAGATCATATATAAAATTTCGACCGATTCCATGTCAGTAGTCATACTACGATGCTATGTATGTTATATTGATAGAATATTGCTGTACGTTTTAATGTGGCATATTATATAGTCGGCCCGTCCGACTTTTGAGCTTTCCTTACTGGGTTTTCCTATGTTGCTGTCTCTAACCTTACTGTCTGTAATTTCATATTTAATTTTCTAAGAGTATAAACAACGACAATTTACAATGACATACCCACCATATAACGGTCCCGATTTTTTAAAGGGTATAAAAAGTTCGGCCGGAACACCTTTCTACTTGTTAGCATTATTTTTTCGGTTTTATTAAAAACCGATCAAACTAAATGTTTATATATTTTTGTTATCATTTAAATAAATATCTTACGAATAAGGGCGAATATGAATATCAAAATGAAATTTTCAAAATTACCTTGTACGCTTTGGCTTTAACATTGTATGTTTCCGCTATATGTTCGGCTGTTTCTTCGGCCAACGTTTGTTGTATGTCGACGATGGCAATGCGACAGCCACGCTTAGCCAAATCGATGGCTATTTCACGACCCAAACCGCCAGCAGAACCAGTTATCTGTTGAAATGCAAAGCAAACGAAGATGATCATTGACATAAAAGAACAATGTAATTAAATTCAGAAATGCTGGCAAAGCACAGTGGTAGACGAAGAAAACGATGAACACGAAAAATATTGAACAATAAATAATCATATAAAAAATATCACAATATATTCTAAATAATTATTTTTCCGCTTTGAAATACTGTGCAAACTTTTGAATGTCAATGTTATTTGGACTTTTTTGTTGTTGTGATTCATATTTTATTCTTCTTTTTAAATTTTGTAAATTTGTTGTTGTATTTTTCATTACCACGGCCACTTCGTTGCTGAGTGAAATATTTGTTTTCTTTGGTCTTAACCATTTCACCACTTGATAGATTATGGATGCCACAATAAATGCTGGATATGCCACAATAAGACCGATTAATGGCAATTGATTAACAATAAAACCCATAAGCCACTTGCTGTTCAGCATTGTTGTTATTATTGCTTTAAATGTTTTTTTCGTTTTTCTAATAATTTCCGTTTAAAATGCAATTCAGTTTTGAGTTTTTGTTTTCAATACGATAACTCGTTTTGATGTGTTCGAATATAACGTTTAAACAATATTAAATCGCGTATTGAAATAACGCATATATTTATAAACTTTGTCAAGGGGGTCAACCAGAATACACAGTTTTGACGAAATCAAGGTGAAGGTGAACGCAAATGCGATCAAGAAAAAAAAAACAAAAACAAACAAACAAAAAATTCCGATGCAACATAACGGGGATTTTAGATTGTTTGGAATCTCAAACAGCGACAGACAACAAAAAACACCACAGCAAACAGTCGAAATGGGCCAAAATTTTATTTTTGTCAGGTTTTCTAGTCATGTTAGAGGGGCCAAATAATTAGAAATTTAAATAAATATCTAAATTAATTTTAGGGTATATTTTTAAGAGCAGATTTTTATACCCTACACAACTATGTTGTCAGGGTATTATAGCTTTGTGCAGCCCCAAAAGTTTGTAAAGCCGCGAAATATTGGTCCTAGACCCACCTTTAAGTATACTGATCGTCATATCTCGACTATCTGAGTCGATCTAGACATGTGTGTCCGTCCGTCCGTCTGTCCATTATAATTTGTAAACACGATACAGGCCACAGTTATGGACCAATCTTCACGAAATTTTGCATGTAGGATGGGTTCTGACCAATGAAGACCCCTATTGTTTTTGGGAAAGATCGGTTAATATTTAGGGGATGAAATGGACCAAATACTAAATTTTTGTCGGTTTTTCTGGTCGCTCCACAGGCTGCAATAAAGGCCCGAACATCGTGAAATTTTGCATGGATAAGGGGGTCGTGCCAAAGAATAAGCATGCCTGTTTTGATAAAGATAGGTCAATATTTAGCGGGTCAAATTGACCCTGACTTTTGTGTGAAAAATGACAAAATTTGTATTCTATAGCGTATATATTTACCCCTGGAGGACATAGACCCGAAGAGTTGATGTTATATCCAAGAGGAGTGGTTGACCTTTAAATTAAGACCAATTATATTGTCGCATGTGCTCTGATGTGGGAGTTACACCTAAATATTTACAGGTATCTCCGTATTTGTATGTTATTTAGTAACCCATTATCACTCTAGAGAGCCGAACATACCGCTGATCGCTTTGAAATGTTTCATGAGGTTCCAGTTATGGCCAAGGACAACGCCTATAATTTTCGGTGATGATCAGATAATAATTTTGGAATGAAGTGGACCGAAAACTTAATTTTTTGTGTTATTTTCGAGTCGATCTACAACAACACAACCCACGGTGAAGGGAATCTGGACAATAACTGTACTGAATACTCGTAATATTCGGAAAATATGTCAGTGTGAGGAAGAGGAGCTGTTTACCTCTAATCGGGCATGAGGGTGCAAATATCACGAAATATTGCCCAGGCTCGGAATACACATCCGTAGAAAATTTGAGTTCAGTGGTAGTTGTGTAGGGTATCGTATGGTCGGCCCCGTCCGACTGTACTGATCCGCTCACTGGTTTTTTAATATTTTGAGGCTATATTAAATATGTTTAGGGCAAGGACGGGGCGGCCCGACACCACAGTAAATTTATGTTTGCAACAGCGAATTTTTTCATTTTGTACTACTGGGCCCCCTCCGAAATGAAATCCTGTGTACGTTGCTGGTTTAGGGTATGTATATTTATAGCCGTGGCCTCTTTTAAAATGTTTAGGGTATATTTATAGGCGAAGATTTATTCATAACCTACACAACTGTGTTGTCAGGGTATTTTAGCTTTGTGCTGCCCCAAGAGTTTGTAACACCCCGAAATATTGGTCATAGACCCACCTTTAAATATACCGATCGTCATATCTCGACTAGACGTCGATCTAGACATGTGTGTCCGTGCGTCCGTCCATTATAATTTGTAAACACGATACAGGCCACAGTTATGGACCAATCTTCTCGAAATTTTGCTTGTAGGATGGGTTCTTGTCAATGAAGACACCTATTCTTTTCTTTTTTTCTTTAAACAAATACTTAATTTTTGTCGGTTTTTCTAGTCACTCCACAGGCCGCAATTATGATCCAAACAATTATGGTCAAAGAATAAGCATGCGTGTTTTGATAAAGATGGGTCAATATTTAGCGGGTCAAATGTACCCAGACTTTTGTGTGGAAAATGACAAAAATTGTATTCTATGGCGTATATATTTACCCCTGAAGGACATAGACCCGAGAAGTTGATAGTATGTCCAAAGGAGTGGTTGACCTTTAAATTAATACCAATTACATTATTGTATGAACTCGGATGTGGGAGATACACTTAAATATTTACAGGTGCTTACGTATTCATATATTATTTAGTAACCCATTACCACACTAGAGGGCGGAAATGTAGCGCTGATCGCTTTGAAATTTTTTATGAGGATCCTAGTACGGTTAAGGATAATCCCTATAATTTTCAGTGATAATAATATTGGGATGAAGTGGACCGAAAACTTATTTTTGTTATGTTTTTTTTCGAGTCGATCTATAGGCCACAGTTGGAAGCCGAACATAACAACACAACCCACGGTGAAGGGAATCTAAAGAAGTAATTAGAAGGGCTGTACCGAATATTAGTAATATTTGTTGACCTCTAGTCGGTCAAGAGGGTGCAAATATCGCGAAATATTTCTCAAGTTCAGAATGTATTCCCACAGAAAGTTAGATTTTCATGGAAATTGTGTAGGGTATCATATGGTCGGTCCCGTCCGACTATTCTGCTTTTTTACAGAACTTTTAAGGTATATTAATAGGCGTGGATAGGCATGAATTTATTATACCCTACACAACTATGTTGTCAGGGTATTATAGCTTTGTGCAACACCAAAAGTTTGTAACGCCGCGAAATATTGGCCCTAGACCCACCTTTAAGTATACCGATCGTCATATCTCGACTAGCTGAGCTGATGTAGACATGTGCGTCCGTCCGTCCGTCTGTCCATTATAATTTGTAAACACGATACAGGCCACAGTTATGGACCAATCTTCACGAAATTTTGCATGTAGGATGGGTTCTGGCCAATGAATACCCCTATTGTTTTTGGGAAAGATCGGTTAATATTTAGGGGATGAAATGGACCAAATACTAAATTTTTGTCGGTTTTTCTGGTCGCTCCAGAGGCCGCAATAATGGCCCGAACATGAAATTTTGCATGGAGAAGGGGATCGGGCCAAAGAATAAGCTTGCCTGTTTTGATAAACATTGGTCAATATTTAGCGGGTCAAATGGTTGACCTTTAAAATGATACCAATTATATTATCGTATGTACTCGGATGTGGGAGTTACACCTAAATATTTAAAGGTATCTCCGTATTCGTACATTATTTAGCAACTCATTATCACTTTAGAGCGCGGAACTATAGCTCTGATCGCTTTGAAATGTTCCATAAGGTTTCGGTGATGATCAGATAATAATTTTGCAATGAAGTGGACCGAAAACTTAATTTTTTGTGTTATTTTCAAGTCGATATATAGACCACAAATGAAAGTCGAACATCACAACACAACCCACGGTGAAGCGAATCTGGACAATAGCTGTACTGAATACTCGTAATATTCGGAAAATATGTCAGTGTGAGGAAGAGGTGCTATTTACCTCTAATCGGGCAAGAGGATGCCAATATCACGAAATATTGCCCAGGCTCGGAATAAACATCCGCAGAAAATTTGAGTTCCGTGGTAGTTGTGTAGGGTATCGTATGGTCGGCCCCGTCCGACTATACTGCTCCGCTCACTGGTTTTTAAATATTTTTTGGGTATATTTTTTATATTTTATATTTTGTTAGGTTATATTTATAGGCGTAGATTTCTATACCCTACACAACTATGTTGTCAGGGTATTATAGCTTTGTGCAGCCCAAATGTTTGTAACGCCGCGAAATATTGGTCCTAGACCCACCTTTAAGTATACCGATCGTCATACCTCGACTAGCTGAATCGATCTAGACATGTGTGTCCGTCCGTCTGTCCATTATAATTTGTAAACACGATACAGGCCACAGTTATGGACCAATCTTCACGAAATTTTGCATGTTGATTGGGTTCTTGCCAATGAAGACCCCTATTGTTTTTGGAAAAGATCGGTTAATATTTAGGGGATGAAATGGACCAAAAACATTATTTTTGTCGGTTTTTCTGGTCGCTCCAGAGGCCGCAATTATAGCCCAAACACCGCGAATTTTTGCATGGAGAAGAGGATTGGGCCAGAGAATAAGCATGCATGTTTTGATAAAGATCGGTCAATATTTAGCCGGTCAAATGGACCCTGACTTTTGTGTGAAAAATGACAAAATTTGTATTCTATGGCATATATATTTACTCCTGGAGGATGTAGACCCGAGGAGTTGATAGCATATCCAAGATGAGTGGTTGGCCTTTAAATTGATACCAAATATAGTGATGTATCTTATCAGATGTGGGAGTTACATCAAATATTTACAGGTGCTTACGTTTTCAGATATCATTTAGTAACCCATTACCACATTAGAGGGAGAAATATCGCACTAATGGCTTTAAAATTTTTCATGAAGTTCCAGTTATGGTCAAGAACAACGTCTACAATTTTCGGTGATGATCAGATTAAAATTTTGGGATGAAATGGACCGAAAACTTAATTTTTTATGTGTTTTCGAGTCGAGTATAATCCGATCAATCACCGTGAAGGTAATCTGGTCAAGTAATTAGAAGGACTGTACTGAATATTCGAAAAAGTAAGGAAGAGGTGTTGTTGACCTCTAAACGGACATAAGGGGGCAAATATCACGAAATATTACTCTGACTCGGAATAAACATCTTCAGAAAGTTAGAGTTCGTGGTAGTTGTGTAGGGTATCGTATGGTCGGCCCCGTCCGACTATACTGCTCCGCTCACTGGTTTGTAAATATATTTACGGTATATTTATAGGCGTAGATTTATTTTGAAATATTTTTAGG